AAAAAAAAAAAAAAAAAAGCGCAGAGTCCATACAGAGCACACTCTGGTCATGTGAGCGTTTTTCCATCATCCCAGACGACATGGTCGTGTTGTGCAAGGTGTTGGCAAAGCATCGCGGACGCCGCATACAACCACATGGAGCTTGGCGATGATCAGTCAAGCACTGCGTGAGGCCATACCCAACCAAAAACCGCGTATTAGTAGATTGGGGGGGGGGGAGATGCGAGCACGGGTCCGCCACACGAAGGAAGGCTGGCCTTTTATCACCTGTGAGCCGCAGTGTTGATTTTGTCTGCCCTATAATACGTCGCGTCTTGATGTGTGGCTCCTGTCTCATCTGCCTGCAAACAGGTCTTCGTGAGGAAAGCTGGTTACATGAGGTGGTCCAGTCTCAGTATGGGGATGAAGGAACTACACACCAACCACTCGGTTTGGGGACAAGCACAAGCAAGCTACCAAAAAGACAGCAAGATGCAATCACTTTGTCGACTAACCGACTAACCTGGTAATGCTCCGTCGAGAAGGCCAGCTCGAGCAGCAAACTGCAAGCTCTCATATGGGGGTTTCCGAAAATAGNNAGGACCCCGAAATAAGGTACCCCCTATTTTCGGAAACTCCCATATGACTGTCAGTACATGTAACATCACTGATGGCCCGTCTCGTTCTTCGCGCGCGCCCTCCGAAGTATCTCGCTACCCGCCATATATTGTAAGCTCAGTACTGGATACAACCCCATGACCTCTAGCTCTCACAGGTAGTAACACCACCAAGCAACCCAGGTTTGCTGCTCATAGAAAGAGACCATTCCTGCAGATGCTGTTCCGGGGACGGACATGTCGCCTCAAGTCAGACGAAGCCCAACTAAGTATGTGGGTAGTTCTCTAAATTAGGGTCCCTTTTTAGGTCCCCAATATAGTACGGCACCCTGACAAAAAGGCCCCTAAAAGGGACCCTAATTTAGAGAACTACCCATGTGAAGGCTTGTTGACGACAGCGACCGCGACCGAGCCGACGCGCGAGACCACCGCTTTTGAGCGAACGATCAGGCACTGCCCATCCAAAGCTCACTTTGCAGGGCTCCTTTTCACGGCCGACTCTGTTGCCGAACAAACCAGAGGAAGGGAAGGGCTTTCGGGCTACTCAGTCCGACAGAATTTTTTGGTTACACCCGTCATCGGGACTGGGGAAGGCGGCGGACCGGACACCAAGGCCCCCACAAATGACAGCAGGCTCGGGTCCTCGCGACCATACTGAACCTGCTCAACGCTGCTGTGGCACTTTGCCTTGTCTTGGAGGTTCTACCCATAGGCCACATAGTAGTTCCTTTTTGGGATTACCTTGTAGGATTTTAAACATGAACCCCAAAGAGGAACTACTATGGGGCCTATGGGTACAAGCAATACTGTGTTGTGAGTCGGGGCCCCTACTACTGGACGGCGGCTGCCTGGGGCCGGGACTTCCAGCTATGGGAGACACTTCATACTGTTGATGGACAAAATTCTGCATGACCCAAATATAGTATAGTACCATAAACCCCATAGTTTAGGTATATAAGGTCATGCAGGATTTTGTCCATCAGCCGTATCACTTACTTCATATGGGTGGTTGTCAAAATTATGGTCCCTTTTGGGGTCCTTATTATAATACGGCACCTATTATTTAGGGTACCCCAAAAGGGACCATAATTTTAACAACTACCCATATCACTTCACTTGGACCTAGAAGCAAACAGCCCCGTGATGCCCCTTGAACTTGGATTAATGTTCGGATGTTGGGAGTAGAACTTGTAACACCTTCACTCGAGGCCTGCACCTCATGCTACACCCCCGCAGCGAGAGATTCAGATTCAGAGGACGCAAGTAGCAGCAGATCGACGAGGAGAACGACGACGAGACACTCCATCATACAATGCACATGCAGCCATGCAAGTAACTAATATACAATAACACACATCCTGCACCTAAAAACCCTGGTCGTAAAAGCAGACGTGTCGATGAAAGGCAAAGGCAATTTTGTTACAATAGCCACAATCACGAGGAGTAACTGATCATTGAATGAACTGTTTTGACGCAACAGTTTGACTGTTGTTTCTTTATGAGACGACGCAAGAAGTCCAACAAGAACTCGCTTCATCGTGACAGAGGAGCGCGACCTCCCGAAGGACAGCAGTATTGCCGGCATTGCCAGCAAATAGGCATGGGCCCTGAGACGGACATGAGCTGGGCTTGGTACGACGACACACTACGAGAACTGTATGGTACCATAGTGCATACTAAGTGGACTAGGCTGCACAGGAGACGGCTGCGTGGATTTCCACGAATAAGGTTATCAGGGGTGCAGCCTCACGTTTTGGTTCGGGATCGAAGGTGCGGAGGTTCAGCGTCTCTTCGGCTGTCGGTCATGGGAAGCTGAGCATATTGGTTAAGCTGATGCTGATCCAGATCACGCGTTTCGAAAATTGTGCAACTCAAGCATATATGCAGTACAGACTTTGCAACTTGGCTTTGCTCCCTCCGTTTTGTTCGGAGGAACACTCTCCCTATCCTATAGAAGCCCATAGAACCTCTGGTAAACTCATCGCTGGGGCGCATGCCGAGGAGACGTGCGGTGGTCTCCTGGGCGACTGCTGAAGCAGGGACCTGGAGGATGAGGGCCACGGCTTGCTGTAGGCCTTCGGGTTTTAGGGGCTTTTGGGGAGTTCTGCCATGGCTCTGACATCGGGCAGCAGTATCTCTATTCAAGGCGAGTGAGGCTTCCCAGCTTGGGTTTAGAAAATTTAGCATCTAAGGCCCGACAGTCATGGAGTGCGCACAGAAACGTGGGTTCTCAGTAGAGAAGAAAGTGTGAGCCGTCAAGAACTTCCCACCGCACGTCAGATTGACTGGCTAGTTGCGCAGAAACCTTTCAGCAAATTCCAAGTGCGACTGTCTGGCTGGCTGACGTCGCGCGATTGAAAATGCTGAGCAAAAGGGACCCCAAGCCGCACTCTGAGATCGTCGCCCTTCTGGTGGACTCTGTGCCACTGCAGGAGGCTGCGGTGACCTTCACAATAGTTCCGGTCTCTGCATTGACATTCTTGCATCACTGGGAATCGTCTGAATTCGGGCCCCGCACCATGTCACGCATGAGATTCCATTAGCATGAGTTTCGCTCACTGTGTGGACAAACTTGACGCAACAGCAGAACAAGTCAGCGGTCGTCGTCGTCAACATCGTAGCGGTGGCAGTAGGAGCAGCAGCGGCATGATCCAAGAGCCAGTTTCGTGACAGTGCCAACCCCCAACCCCCGGACGGAAGAAATTCCCCTTCGAGGCTTCGACCCGCTGTGTTTCAGAACGGATCCACCTGGGGGCGTTTAGGGGATGTCGGCTGTTCTTGAAAGCACTTTGAAGAAGGCACTTTTGTGCTCCTGCTTCGAAATATACCGAAACGGTCACAGCTAGCCGTTCAGGTTCAGGCCTTCAAAAGTGAGGGAGCCGTTTAGGAGGAGTATCGTTCATAGTGCTGCAGTTTCTGGCTTGCGAACTACCTTACTTGACACGCGGTTTGGCCATGCTCTCCGTCAGGCTTGCCGGAATCTCGAACAGACACAGTAAGCCTTACAGGTTTTTTTGGAACTAAAGTTGTTCTTCAAGATCTTGCACACCAAGTCCGGGATCTTGTGAACATGTCGACCGGTGCAGAAGTTGCCTCGAAAACCACACAATGCTCACGATGCTTCCGCCCGATGTTCTGGGACGCTAAAAGCCCTAGACCCAAATCCCCAAGCACGAAACCCCAACTCCCAAACCCGCATAGTTACTCATGCTCGCCAGGCCGCCGCTTGGGTTGGGCGCATGCCGCTCCCCAACCTCTCAAGGTTTAGGGCAAAGATTTACAGTTTGGAGGAGCTTTTTGGTTTCCAGGAGCATCGAGGTTTGGGAGGCTTTGGGGGTTCTGGATTTGGGGCTGGAAGTCAGCACTCGGGGTTCATTCGTCAAAGACCATTACAGTCTCTGGTTCCCATGCTCTGGTCTAGCTACACATAGTGTTGAAGGACTTGGGGTATAGTATAGGAGTCTCATAGTTTGTGAGCTCCCGTTTATGAACCTTGCTTGAGGCAGGGTCTCTCGTGCTTAGAGGGTCCCCCCGGAACTGAGAGCCCTGGAGTCTGTTGCGGCGCTGCTCCTTGTGAAGTCAACAAAAACCACCTCTAGCATCTAAAATCTAAAACCATCTTTCTTAATACATCTACCATAGCCCCCATAATAATTATTTACGTCGAACATCCCCACCCTCGCGGTAGTCTGTGGGGTTGGAGTCTCACACAAGTCTCACGCTAGTCTGTGGGGTGAGGCACTCCAGGGAGTCTCACAGTTTCACGGGAGTCTCACGCTAGTCTGTGGGGTTGGGCACTCCAGGAGGAGGGCGAGGAGTAATAGCTGACTTTAGATTCTACCAACCCCACACCGAGATTGGGGAATAATCACAATAACAATAATGATGATACTATTAATATTTTCTTTGGACCACGGTCGGACATAGTGCAGGCCAGACTGGAAGCACCCGCACCGAGTGCAACGACCCCCTCTGACAGTGGGCCTTGGCCTGTTAAGAACCAAGCCCTAACCCCCCAGGTACCTACTATATAGGGTACCAGAGCCCCTAGGACCCTATATAGGTACCTGGGGGGTCAGGTCGCGGAATGAACCCTGACGCCTGTACCCGAAAACCCTTACGGAAGCCTGCGTCAGTCTAGCCTCCTTGTCTACTCTCAGACGCCGATAGCCAACACTTCGTGGCCCGGGCGAAAGTGTGGGAGCTGGCGCGTGGCTTGCTCCTAGTCTCCGCGGAGAGCTTTGCTCTTGGACGTGGCAGGCCCCTACTGTACATACATGTGTTTTTGTTAGATACACATAGAAGAGCAGGTAAGCATACTTCTAGAAAGTTCCAATGCATGAATACGAGAATACAAAGCAAGAAGATGAACTTCTGACACTTAGACGTCGTACCCTACAAAGCTGCCGGTCCTCTCAAACACAACGGCAGTCACAGATCTGTGACAGCATCACAAAACGGGCGCAACGTATGGGTATGCCTATGGGCAGTCTGGGCATATAATGAGTCTTGTGCAATCGCTCTCGAGACAGTGCCGTGCAACGGCTGTGAGGCTTCAAACCTTCGACCTGCGCAGTACTGTTGCTGTTGAGGCAAGTTTTGAATGCAAGAAACACATTTGCGCATGTGCCGAGAGGTATCCCAGGAGTCATAGTCATGGCCCGAAACTCGTCAGCATCACCCATCATTGTCCTTTGTGCTGAGACTGTCATGTTGATTGCTCCCGACCCCCACCCCCAGACTTCTTATATGAAGTTCGTCATGAACCCAGCATAGCATGCATCCCGAACCTAAGATGTCGAACCAAGATGCCCAGTTCGGCTGAGGGAGGACATAGGGCATCCAAGTCTCCCGTTGCAGTACATCGCTGGAGGCACACCCTGTCAAAGAACAGGGCTCGGACAAGGGCCGTCCAGGGATCACCAGACCACCGGAAGTTAGGCATAGGTGGCTAGACAGGGCCCAAAACACAGGGCTCGCCACATTCACGAGGTTGACACGTGGAATTGGTAACTGAACTTGTTTCGCCACTCCGAAGCAGCCGTGCAAAAGGCTTGGAAGCACCAGCATGACACCGAACGCCCTACAAAAGCCCCCCATGTACTCCGGACGATCAATCGAGCTTCTTGCTGCTCTAGCTCTGCGAGCCACGACATCCAAAAGCACATCCCGGATCTGAAGAAACCCGCATTTTGGGGGCTCCCGCCTTCTCTGCCTTTCTCCGCGGAGATACGCCCTCGCGGATGGCTAAGGCATCTGCGTCCTCCTCTGTGGCACTTAGGCTTCAGTAGAGTAGAGTCTAGGGCTGTGCGTGTCACCAGTGCCTTTGGTCATTCATTCGCCAACACGACAAGCAAGCTGTAGAATCGACAGAAGTAGGGGGCAAAGCCCAAGAGAAATTGAATCGCTTTACAACAGCAGGCTGAGAATTCAGCAGGTTGGCCACGTGTTACAGAGATCAATCAGGCAACATCTAGCGTGCATCAAGCCGCCATGTCGACGAGTCATTAATCAGCCTGGCCCGATACTGGCGACAGAGATTTGCACTTTCAGACTAGCTACACCGGACTCGAAACTATTCAAGCTTCGTCCGTTTTTTGCGACATCCTCGGTCCTTGGATTGTGCTAGGTCTAGTATTCCGCGTTTCTTGTGCTGTGGGTCTACTACTCAGCTGTGCGTCGACATACTACGACACACACACACACCCACACATCAACTCCCACTTGCATCGGGGAGACCAATCCATGGCTTGCCCCCAACCTAAAAGGCCTAAGCCCATGCAAACAAAAAACAACGAAGACAGCCAGGCATGCACTTCTATAGCTCTCGAACGCCTCGAAAATGAAATCCCAAATCCTGAAACCCTCAGTACCCAACCAAGCCTTCCCAAGAACCCCCCCCCCCCCCCC